CTGTATAGACAATGACAGAGATACACTGTTGTCGAATTTAAGTTTAGCTTTAGAGAATCATGCTAGAATCGACACCAGTGGTGTCGATTTATTTAAAAATAAATTTAAGATCACTCTATCCCTCTTCCTTGTCAAATTTAAGTTTAAGTTAAGAGAATCATGCCAGAATCGACACCACTAACTAAGTAACTATGTTGGCACGGATAAATATTTTGGCGTGTCCATATAACGAAAAGTTTACTAGAAAAAAATCTACGCGGATGTGGGTTACCTACAATGCGAACAGATGGCGCTGCCTTGCAGCTTAAGGCTAGGAAAATTTCGACGCGGCGATACGTGGATTTATTTCTAGTAAACTTTTCTTTAGATTTAAACATCTAGCAGTGAAATGCTTAAAAATAAATAAAAACAGAAAAAATAAGTGATAAAAAAATTTGAGTTTCACCGACTTGACACACGTTTGTCCGAAATCTCGTGTCCAGTTGGTGAATAACCTAAGCAGTAGGTACATAATACAAAACCACCTCGTGGTTTATGTTCATCCCGTACCCACATAATACAGTTAATATCTGCAATAAAAAAAAGAAAATCTTTGAAGAATTACCCCATTTTGCAACGAAACTCATTATTCTCAACTAAAGGACAATGGGCAAAACACACCCAGCTCCGCCAACAATGTAATTAGTATGAATCGATAGATCTATGAAAAACTAGCCTTTTTTATTATGACACCGTAAAGAAATATCCCGGTAGTCAAAAGATATGACACCGCATAAAAATATCCTGGTAGTCAAAAGATATGACAAATGGGCATATTTAAGTAGCTTAAGAAATTAACATGATAGTACCTTCATTATATATTATTAGTAACCATAATAATATGCCATATCGTACTATACAACCAGATATACGACAAAGCCTGCCGACCATCCTGCGTTTGCACTTACTGAGCCACCACAAAACGGTTTACGGGACCTACAGTTGCAAATAGTCGACTCGTCTTACTTCCTTGTGATTGTGCGCTCCCTGTCACTCGATTGATTTTTATCTAACACGCTTTGGACATTGGAACACGATTATGTTTTATCAATTAGTATGGATGAACTGGAATCATGTTTTCTCCGAAGCGTGAACAAGTTTGTGTGATATGTGGTCGCTCCGTTTTACATAAAAGACAATTTACTATAACGAACAGACTGTTTGAAAAAACCCCAACCCATGAGGGGATTTTTGGATTTACTTTAGCGCGGCAGAATAACATAAGGGGGCACCCTTGCACCTTGTAAAGTACTCCCATAGTACCCGAGCCCTCTATATACGGTCGAACTAACTAACTAAATTAATTCCCTTGTAGCATTAATGTTCTTTCGTTATAGTACTTGTACCTTTTTAACTTTAAATAACTATAGACCCCCGGGATGGAATTTGATGCGCTTTGGCTCAGATGATCATAACTATAATACCTTTCAAACAAATGTAGTTTAAGCCATGGCGGACGTGGGTGCAGCGTCCATAAATTTTTGCCCAATGACCATTAATATTAAAATAATTGGATATGAAGAGCAGGACAGAAAAAAAGAGTTTTTGATCTTTACCATAATCGGTGTCTAGCTGCAGGTGGCTTCTGCACATGGGCTTACGTAACACAGCTTCGAAAAAAGATAGTTACTGAGATTGGAGTTAGGATTGCTAAAAAATTCACACTAGAAAACCAACTTAACCTAAACATAATAGGTTTTTGCAGTGAAAACTTCTTTAGCGGCGTTGTACACTTTTATTTGTATGGGTATAAAATGTTAAACACGTGGGCTGATCGCATCATGACACACAATAAAATTGGAAAGGTTGTTGACTTTCAATATATTGAACGAAACATAGTTATATTTTATTTTACCGTATTATATAATAATAAGTCTCTATCTAGGACGTCCACGTGGCAGCTTTATTGCGAAGAAAATGCATTTTTTTTACAATAGATGTCGCTAAGTGCGCTTAAATGTGATTCATGTAAGTTGATTTCTTTACAATAGATGTCGCTAAGTGCGCTTAAACGTAATTCATGTAAGTTGATTTTTCTGAGAGATAATCTTTTTTAATGTAATATAAATTGTCATGTTTGTATTTGATAGTGCAATAAATAAATATTGTATTGTACCACATACATGATACTACTGTTATACTGATAAATAAAGCAATACGTGCAAAATTGTTCCCTAACCATTCCAAAATATCAAGAATGCACAACATTAATATTCAAGTTTACACTTCTGCCGGCACTCCCGGAGTGCAACCCGTCGTTTTTTTTATATAATACATTGACTTATGTGTAGTGGCAGGCGGGCGCTTGACCAAAGCTGCCCTGCCGTACCTGAGTGAGAAAGACAATAAAAGCCTTTCGGTTAAGTCAAGAAGACTCAGGTCAAAGGAGGAAACACTGAATACCTGAACATAAAATTAATCAATTAGTCCAGCGAGGGATACTTGACGTTATAATTAATAAGATGTCCTCTCTCACCCCAGGGTTTCGTTATGGAGGTTAGACAAGGGCGGATCCAGGGGGGGGGGGGTCGTGGGGGTCATGACCCCCCCCTGGGCTGGGTACAGATGGACCAAACCCAGGGGGATTTTATTTAAGTACTTTCAATATTTAATATACCATATGACCCCCCCCCCTGGAGCCAAAGCTGGCTATATGACCCCCCCTGGCGCCAAAGCTGGACCCGCCCTTGAGGTTAGAGTCGTACATCACACGCAACGAGCGGGTCGCGTAAAGGGTTACCATATCTCAGGATTTGTCCTGAGATTTCAGGATTTTTGGACTCCTCTCAGGATTGCGGCTGGATTTTGCAAATCTCATGAAATATCAGGATTTTTTGAATTTCCAATAAAATATAGCTTACGTTAAAAGATCTCTTTAACAAAAAGTTGAACAAACTAAAAATAATTGCACAATTAAAATCAGTACTTTATTATCCAAGTTAATCTTAACTTAATCAGTTTTATCATACTTAATATGTGAAGATACATTTTTAAGTAAGGTTTTTTCTTTAATTATGGATTCATATAATGCCCCACATGTTTAGCTCTTCTTATTATATTGATTTAAAAGTATAAGCAGAGTATAAACGATAATATTACTTCTTTTTTAAATGGTTAAGTACGTTTCAGAGAAAATTCTCAAACTGTAAAAAATCTCAGGATTTTTCAATGGAAATCAAGCCTTTTCTCCGGACTTTTGATTTTATCATCTGGAAACTCTAGTCGCGTAAGGCAGAGTGCTCCCAAAATACACCCGCGACCGGCGCGCGGTTCACAATAAAAACTATAACTGATACTCGGCGCCGGCGGCGTCGCACGCGCAACTAATATTAGACGAGACGTGCCAAAGATCATGCAGTGGTGTAGACAAACAATATAGAAAGTGGTGTTAGACCTGACGGTGCCGGCACAACGATTTTAAATATTCTAGATTAGTGATGTAACGATTATCCGTATCCGCATTGGCATTCGCGAATATTCGCATATTTTGTGTTCGCAATGTTTTGCGAATATGAATATAAAAAAAAAACAATTTGAAGAAGTTGCAGTTCTTCCTTTCCTTGAATATTCATTGTTACACAGCTTGCATTTAGCTCGTTCAGCATCGCAAAGTGTAAAATAAGTCCATATTTCACTAGAATTTGATTTACTCATGTTAATTAATCACTATTCAAACTCTAACCTCAAAATTTACTTGTTTTGTTTACGAAAAGACCGGCGCGAGTGGAACAACACTAATGTCGGATGAGTTCATATCAACTCGGCAATTCGAACGAGACTGCCACCATGCCAATGTCGGTACCAGATATTCGCAACCGCATTCGCATTCGCGAATGTTCAAAAAATTACATTCGTTACATCACTACTCTAGATACATCATGTGTCCCAATCAAGAAATGCTTGAACTCCACTTAAGCACTTTTCGGTTCATAGTCACGCGCGGACCGTTGAAAAGTCAAGATGTCGCAGAGCTCCGTGCAAATCTAAGAAAAAAATAGTTATAGTACGTAAAGTGTCGCTTTTCGACAAGTATCTAACCAATGTTTTAAAAAATTAAATTTTCGTTTTTCATTTAAAATCATATTTATCTAATCAATGTGGTATCTTGTAAATTTACTATATTGTGTCACTGGAAGAGAGTGGGTATATAAGTCACAGGGTTTTCCTATTTTAAGTACCCACAGATCCTTAGTTTTAAAATATCCTGTGCCTGTTATTTTTAAAACCATATTGTATAAAAAATTTGGGAATAAATTATTATTATAATAATGATTGTTAATTTAACGCAAGTGAAACTTTTAATACTTACTATAAACTGATTTAATAGAAAATATTTGTGATATTCTAATGCATGGTCGATAATAGAACAGTCTCTTTTTCTCGCAGTCCGTACTTGCTTTATTACTAACAGCGCTTTCAAAATTGCGTATAGAGTCAAAGAAATAAGATCTACATTCTTCCGCATATAGCAATAAGTCGTAAAGAGCTTGCATTTCGAACTGTCATAACTCTTTGTCGCATGCGTTTTAATTAAGATCTTACATACTTTGCATTAAAGGTGACTTTCAATATTTAAATAATGCCTTATATTGTTTTTGACAACGCGATCATCTTTCCGAGCTACGATACACGTAGTCCAATGTACCTTTTGGACAGATTTTGGCCACGACTTTGTACGTGTTGTTGTATTTAGTGTATTTAATATCGTTGTGCCGGCGGTACTCCCTTGGCTATTCCCATTTGCTATTCGTCGACGACAGTATGTCCTTTTCACTTGTTATAAACCGTTATAAGGACAGACTGTTTACAAATACCAAATACGAATAACCAAGTGAAGTACAAACGAAACGATGTCCAAATTGTACATCTCCGCCAAGAGCCTCCAAGAGGCTATTGAAATTGTCACGAACCGCGAAATTAAACCATCTCATCTATCTTCCATTTCATAATCTTTGACACACGTTCAAACTAACTGAACGAAATCAGTACGCCACGGTGCCTCAAACATTACATGACTTGTTCGCTAACGAAAAATCGAAGATTCTTTATCAATACGGCATTGTTTATTTTGTTAATAAAATAAAAAGTTACAAGTAAGAGTGGTATCGGATTTAGTGCAGTGAGCAAAGTGAGTGAATGAGGTAAAACGTTGTGTTCTAAGTACACAAGATGGTATTCAAGTGCAGTGTTGTTCTGTTTCTGGGAATGAGTATTGTTATAATATTGTAAAGGTGAGTACCTAAATACTTCTTTTGTTATTTTATTTATTTATTTATTTATTTATTCAGTAACACATGCCGGCTTACAGAAATATCCAAAACGCCGGCAAGTCATACATAAAAACATACATACATTCCAAATCAACAAAATTAAGAAAAAAAGAAAAGAAAAACAAAAAATAGTAAAATAAATAATCATGTCAAATTAATAAACAATTAATAATGTCATATCATTCCAAGAAATTAAAGAGATTAATGTCAACTAAGTACAATTAATGTCAAATATAATCTAATCTAATTAATAAATAATGTCATAAAGAAAATTAGATTAGATAAATTTAAAGATAAACTATTCTTTCAATCGGAGAAAACTTTGAATCAAGAAGTAATAATCATGGTAATGGGTCTGTTTCTTTTATTGTAACAGCAAAATGGAGGTTCTTAAATTTATTAATGTTTATTCAAACATTTTAAAAAGTTGGAATCATGTCGATCATTCGTTCACTTGACCGATACTAATGAAAAACGATACATTAAATGACACGGCTAAGAAACTACCTGTAACATGTATAATAATTTCACACTAGCCCGTAACATTAAAATATTTTGATTGTTGATTATTACGTGTTTATTATTCTTGTACAACTTTTGTGAAATAATCAAATATTTAAAGTATAAAAATTGACTTCATGTCGTCTGTTCCTAAAGGAAAGTGTTTCGTTTTTGTGTAAGAATATTGAAATTAGCAATATTAATTCCAAACTACCTAAACCTTAAATTTTTATTTTTTAAGTAACTGCTCGGTTGCTGTTTAAATCTAAAGAAAATATAATTACAAAAAATCCACATGGACCAGGCAGCAGACGGGACTCGAAACTCTTCGCTATTCGCTATTTTTAAAACAATTAAAACTTGGCCCTAATTTTTTTTCATAACAGATCACTGAAGGCTTAAAATATTTTATTTTTATTTTTTAATAATTATATTTTTCTGATCAAATTTGAGACAAGGCTGTATGAGCATTAACCCTTTGCTTTTTGCCAATGAACAAAATTAAGCTTCACAGATTTCCTGACAGGTCGTCGATGCGCTAGCATCACTATATATAGGTAGTTTGTGGGTCGTCGTGACTTTTAACAAAATAAATAATGTTAGCATTTTGTGCCAACTAATAACATAACTCATACTATATTTTACAATGGCCTATTATATAAATGAAAAAGCTTTTTTAATGAAGCTTTTAAAATTTGGTAGCTCCTAATAAATAAAACAATAAAGAATTCCCTTTTATATTGTGCACATTCATCTGTAACAGCATCGAAAAAAATTGTCATGAGGAAACAAAAGTTTTACTTTAATAACTAAAAACCGGCCCAGTGCGTGTCGTGCCACACTCAGTGTAGGGTTCCGTAGTTACTCGTCGTCACCACAATATATTTTGGAAAGAGTCTATATTTTAAGTAATTGAAATAATTAAGTCTAAGAGTCGCCGCACACGGGCCACCGACCACAACCACAAAACGCTGCCACCGGCATATTCCTTGTAGTTTTCATACATTTTATATGGACTCGCCATACACGGTACGCCGGTGGCCGCCACACGCTACAAATCGTCGTTGCTCGCTTCTTGTGGCCCGCACCGGCCACTTAATGCGCCGATACAAAACGCCGCCACACGTCACTCGCGCGATTCCCCACCCCTCTCTCCCTTACCTTAGTCGGCCGCTGTCGCGCGCTTCAACCAGTTTAGTAACGGCTTCTAGCTTCTCGTGGCGGCGTTTGTGGCTGGGGTGTGTGGCTCGTGTGCGGCGACACTAAGTCACTTTTATGTGTTCTGCTAAGGAATTTTTATTAGGTCAGAAATGTACTAATACGTAAGTTGAACGACTATCTCTTATCTATTAGACAAGTCCGTCCGTCTGTCTGTGGTGCTGTTTCAGCGGCCAAACCGTAAGAGATAGATAAAGAGAATATTTAAGTTATAAGTTAAGAATAGTCTGATAAGACTACAAACCGGATTTGAGTAACGTAGCACTTCCGGTTTTCGAGAAATCAGGTTTTGGTGAACATTTGGTTCACTGGTTTGCTAGTTACTCTTAAACTTACAAATCCTTATTAACCGTTATAATTTTATCATGATTTTTTTCAGGTTTTTCAAGCCAATAGTTTAGTTTTTAGGGAGGGCGCCCCCTACACGTACAAAAATTAGCACTTTAAATTTCAATATTTCGCAAACGGATCCCTAAATCGATAAAAAGTCTTAGAAACTCTTAAGTAATATTAAAGGACCTATTTAACGATACCCCACACGATGGGGTAGACGACGAAAAAATACAATCATCTCCAGGTTATTATGTAGGGGAGTCTACCCTATAAAAATATTTATCAAAATTTTATTCTAACATTTTGTCGACATGATTGATATACATATTTCCACAAAATTACAGCTCTCTAGTGCTAACAGTCTTCAATCAAAACCAGGGAACGACAGACAGACGGACATGACGAAACTATAAGGGTTCCTTGTCAGGACTACAGAACCCTAAAAAGAAATGCTATATTTTTATATAACCAATAGCTAAGGCACATGCCGACAAATGAAAACAAAAAAAATGAACAAAAAAACGATAATATGCACAACTTCAAACGCCTGAATCTCTAAATAATATTCAATAAATTAGATCAAATCAGATCAATTACTACGACGTCAGAAATATGTTTTTGTTGTAACATAATGTATTAGAGTTTTGATTTTTCTTCTTATTAACTATCAAAAAAATCATCTAACCTCCGTGAGTTTTCCCAAAAAACAATGCAAGTTTACCTCGTAATTTGATATTGAATTAAATAGAATTACTATCAAAAACTTTCATAAAACTAATCTACCATCATTGTACTACTAAAATATGTATATATTTTTATAATTAGTCCATTAATAATTATTTTATAAGACTCGAAAGATCACCCGTAAAATGCAATATATACTAGTGCAAATCTACCTACGCGGCGATCAGTACGACAGCGGCGCAATTTTGTAAAAGGGCTCTTACGCAACTTTTTCTCAATGGATTGGTGATGAAAAAACATCTTCTCGAGCTCCTCCGTACTTCGGAATGCTTCGTTAAGCTGTTGGTTCCAGCTGCATCTGCAGTCTTCAGCAGCCACCGATCCAGCGTGGTGGGTCATAGCGTTTTCTCCCAATTCTGCTGGGGTACAGGACTTCCATATGGTTGGTTCATATTGAAATCCTGTACCCTAGCAGTGGAGGCATAGGCTGGTGATGACTTAGATTAAAACAAAAAGGGTAGATACGGCACTAGCCTCACAAAAGTGATCCGCATGAATTGTGGTCCACGACCCTAATCGCTTTAGTCACAACTTGACATGCAAACGACGTACATGTGAACGCCAAAAAGAAATATTGCTAATATTTTGTGTTTATATGATAAAACAATGCCTAAGTGTCTTTTTAAAAGTGCTCAAATTGCTCAAGAACTAAAAATAAAACCCACGGCATCACTTTTCATTCGTAAGTACTATAAAATATATTTTTTCATAAAAAATGCTGTTTGTTTTGAATCTTATTCGGTAGTGACGTCGAATACTTGGTCGGTAGTGCAGTGACGCGGATCTCGCCGTCTCGTTCGCGCTGCCGTTGAAACTTAACGTGCTGTTTCGCTCGGGTCGGTAATGCAGTGACGCGGATCTCGCCGTCTCGTTCGCGCTGCCGTTGAAATTTAACGTGCTGTTTCGCTCGGGTCGGTAATGCAGTGACACGGATCTCGCCGTCCCGTTCGCGCTGCCGTGGGATCAGTTTTTGTTTGATGCAAGTATGAGCGTACCGTATCTACCCTTTTTGTTTTAATCTAAGGGTGATGACCATCTTAAGGACTCAGTTAAGCGGTCGATCTATAATCGCTTGATTCGTTGACGTGTCATGACGTAACACGGACTAATTTCGTAATGCGCTGCGCTCTGGCAAATGGGTGATTGTTTTAAATCTCATAAATATACCGACTGACCGGCGCGGCGGCGGTAGAATACGTCAGACATCGTCATTTCCGTACCCATGCGGTTTGTACATGATGATTGACGGGTGTTCGAATTCGGAAAAGAAGTTTTACGAAAATGCTATCGCGACGGAATTTTGGAAAGTTTGTGTGTAATTTCGCGACGATAACACTATGAATATAAGTACATATTAATCTCAAATGTAATCAGTGGCGGCGCTAGACCACATGTGGGCGTCGGCGACATCAAGTTCGCGAGGCCTATTTTATTTCGCAGTAAAAACCGTTAAATTAAGTGAGCCAAATTATAAAATAACCTATGAGTAAACGAGTTTTATTGTTGATAATCAAATGATGAAGAAAAATAATTACAAACATAGAAATTTAATTAAAAAAATAGTGTTGCCAGACAGACGATTCTGAATACCCGTAAAGTACTACTCGCTTCCATCACGAACGTGTTCGAAAATAATAAAAGTCATTATCATCTGCTTAGCTTTTTCCCCGAATTGTTCGGAGTCGGCTACCTAAGCCAGGCCAGGAGAAACGAAAATAAATAGGTAACTTGTAAAAATTTTTTGCGAGGCCCCCTCAGGCGCGAGGCCGTCGGCGGTGGCCGACGTCGCCGACGCCTAGCGCCGCCACTGAATGTAATTTCGCAACAACGCACGAAATTACTTGTCACACGGGAAAATCTTTTATTTTCCCTTTTAAAAAATAGAATTTATCGTAAATATTTCCGTGTTTTCGCGACAGAACTTGCTTATTAGGAAAATCAGCTATACATTAAATTATAAGAACCAATTTTTTGTTTCATTGCACAACTGCTATATTCTCATACATCTATCCTTTCCAACTAAACTCATCAAAAGCCAAAACATATAAATCTCTAACAAAAGCCCACATAAAAAACAGAAAGAAAAAGTAGGTATGGTTACTTTGAATTCTTTTCGATTATCTTGGTATGAAGTCCACTATAAAAACCATTGAAGCAGTCGCCGA